GATATGCAGGTCATCTTAAGGATGTATAACGACACACCTACTGTAAAAGGGGTTGTCAAAGAGTGGTGTGAGCAAATTTTCACTCAGAAGGAGCAATTTAAATATAAATCACATGATGAGGAAGAAGAATATGTGCCAATATTGGATGATACGTGAAAGAGTAGCTTAGAGGGGGAGACGGCTGATGAGAATAGACACGTTTGGATGGTATTGCACTTGAAACACGCTGTATGCTTCAGCAGTCAGGTCTATATGTGAACAGAAATGATCACATGCAGAAAATCTGTGGCTCCGTAGTAAGATATTCATATAAAGGCGAAATTAGTGAACATGAAGCCCAGGATATATTCCGAAAAGTAATTGACAGACTTTTGACTGAGGGTACTAGCATGGAATCATTGGCAATCAATCTGAATATGGTCATACTCGAATCACGAGAATTGACAGCTGGGAGTCCTTCATGTGTCTGAGTGATGAAAATATGTACATATGCACGCATGTTTCTACGTATTTCACTGGATGTCGATAGACATCACGTAGAAAAGAAGGGAGACAGAGCAACTATGGCTGCGAGGGGCAATTAATGTGATAACATAGGAATAAAAACAATGCTTTCGATCAATATCTCGATGTTAAGGACAAAATTGAAACGGATTGGGATGACTACCATGCTCAAAATCGGGTGAAAGTAGAAGAGTATGATGAATTAGAGAACACTGTTGAGCAGGCGCTTTCGTATTCTTTTCATGATTATAATGTGAAGAAAACTGCCAAACACAATGGCATTCCGTTTACTATCATGATATGTAGAATGTGAACAGGCCGTTGGACGAGAAATACTGCAGGACAACAATACACACAACGGCGCATACAGATGCGGCTAGTGGGAACGTAGGTGGATCAACAATGGATAAAATCGCACAATTCAGTCGATCAGCAATGAAATACGTATCCGTTGTAGAAGGTGGTAGTTCAATGACTTTTGCGAAGACACAACAGCAATACTCTATAGCCATTCTAATAATATTGGATATGTTTCATGTGCAGGAAGCAGATCATGGGCCATTTAGGTCAAAGGTGCAGTGATTGTATTGCCAAGGACATACATCCTGCTGTCGGTCGTTTGGAGGCCATGATATTAGTTGAGTCTTCAAAACAGTTCTCGACACTCAACTCATCTAGTTGCCAACCATAATTCTTTCAGATCACACACCTGGCCCCGTTTGCACAAAATTTTACCATTTGCACAACTTCTACATATGTGTGCATAAGAGGCAGAAACATGAAGACACTTGTTTGCATTTTATAATATCAAATATAAAAGGGGTAAACACAAAATTGATGATTAGTCAGACAAAACGACTAAATGACAAGTTACACCGCATACACCGACACCAATCGAGAAACGGAATGATTGCGTGATACACTGATGCATAGACGATTTTGTAATATCGGCATCTCTCTATCAGTCTAATCTATATATAGTTGAGGAATCGATCAAAAGAAATTGTGCGCAGACAAGGTACGTACAATGGGATTCTTCACTCAACCACAAACTGAGCAGCTTTCGTCCTACCAGATCTGTTCGAATCTTTTGCTGTCGAAACCTACACCCCTGTTTTTATTTTATTTTTGTATGGCAGGGACTCTGTGTGTAAACGAATGATTATCGCGGGGAAAAAAATAGCAATCCAACACTCATGCCGGTAAATATTCATTTAGCACAAAACTCGATTGGCACCGAAATGAGCGTTGTGGACATTTCAGACGTTTTTTGTCTTCCGCCAAATATCTGGTCATGCCACAATATTCTACTTGGTTACGATAAGGCACGCCGTCAGTTGGCCTGAGCTCCACACTGGCCGTGCGTTGGACTATTTTGTTGAATATGCCGCTTTATTTGAGTACATCGTAATATTTATGATTATTTGCGCGTGTACACGACTCTAGTAGTATATAAATTAATAGCCGTGCTTATACATCCGGGTGTATTTGCCTCAGAAACATCGGCAGCATATTGTGAAGGCATGTATATTCATATATGTCGTATATTTGTGTAGATACCACAAGACAGACGGTTTTAATAAATAAATAAAATCTAAGTAGACGTACAAATACAAGGCTCTACGTTGGATGACACGGATCACTGCCATGGGTTCAAAAGAGGCACAAATTTAAACTCTTAACTAGTCAGCGGCGATAATTTCACAGGAAGCCACACTCATGATTGAAATATAAAAACAACGAATCGCCATGTCGTCATATCACCACAACCCTGTCTTACAAGAGGCTTACGATGTATATTGCAAATCGCGACAATACCTCACTCAAACTCTGTAATAGCAAGCGACTACTAAATATGGCATCAATATCTTATAGTGTCTTGTTACATAAATCCATGTACATTATCGACGGAGAGTTTCATGTGAACAATATTACAGCAGGAAATCTCCTTAAATAAATTGGATATGTAAAGCTGTTTGCCCTTATACTTTCAATGGCGGGTTTTGGAAGCTCTGGGTGGGGCCATAGTCATTGTGATAGCATTCATACATGCCGAGCAATAATTAATTATTCCGTTTATGATGAAACGCGATGATCGTAGGGGCTGCTGACAATAAATAATGGGAGTCGATTTTAATGCTAATGTACAGGAAGAGCGCATCAAAGATATCGATAAATTGACAGATTACTTTTTACAACGCAGTCCCATTAGCGAGGCCAAGAAAATACATTCCACAAGAAGGCGCATTCGGAGAGCTTCTTCACTATCAAATTTGATATATCAAGGCGAAAAACGCTTTGCAGCGCGCTACACTAAGCGACAGAAAAAAAATTACATGTGAACAAATACACAATGTAATCTGGAATTTTTTTTTATCACTATATATTTATCATTTGTACAAATATACAGACAAATTAAGAACTTATGATATGATCAGTAATACCTTTTCTAGACATCTTTTACCATTCACAGACTAAAAAGCTTTATTATTCAACTGGAACAAGAATACACGTCCGGTGCACCAAATATCACAGTTTCAGCCTACATCGTTTCATACGGCAAAGAGTAAAATATGGCTATCACCAGATGAAGATAGATATACCACAGAGGAAATGCTTCACGTTTATCTGGGTGGACAACTGTACTCACCTAACCGTTTGGTACACACATGTTATCATCGTTCTTCCAACAAATCATGGACAACGTACAAGTGTAAATAGATAACATAATCACAAAGACCCAAGAGGAACATGACAGAGTTGTGGAAGAGGTCTTGGCAAGACTGAGCAAACAGAACTTCAAAACCAACGACAAGAAATGTCATTTCAGATAGCGAACTGCAGCTATTAGGGTATCGTGTATTTGGTGAGTGAATCATGATGGATCTGGAAAGGGTAGAGCACTTACAGGGCTACAAGAAAACACATGCCACTGGAAAGGATGTGAACAGCATACGCGGGCTCGTCAACTTCCTGTCGAACGGAGTTCCCCACCTAACAAGTTACCTTAGGCCTTTTGGACTTGTACGATGTCCCAAAGTTATAAACCAAGGCCTGTGACGATGCCTCTGTACAGTTCAATGAGTGGTTCAACAAGAACCGAAGCCACCAAGAGACGGAGTACCGTTCATAGGAGCAACAGACGGATCGGATATCGCTCTCGGATTGTTCTGTATCGAATGATTGACGAAAAACCAGGATACATGCAGTTTTTTTAGCAGGGACATGAACCCGTTGCAAATCAACTCTCCAACTGTTCATTCTACCGTAACAACACACATACACGTTTTTAAGTATTATGCAATCAGAAAACATTGCAACGTATAGGATATAAAGCCAACTCACAATTGGTTAGTCGGTGGCATAATACGATATTCCTGGTATGAAAAATCACCTACCGGATACGTTGTCACGCTTTGTACCAGAATTCAATCAGATGGCGCTAGCTACTAGCTACGGATTGAAATGCCGATCTTAGATGATTTTAAAATCGCAGACAACATATATGGTCCACATACCATAGATATGTTTGCAGCTCATCAAAATGTACGACTGCCGCGATACCGAACTCTGGAACATCTAGAAGGTGATGCGGTTCAAATTGACTTAACTAATGAGAACATTTGGGTAAAACCACCATGCTTGTCGATACCGCAGTTGCTAAATTATGTTCGTATACTGGATGCTACCTTCATGTTTTTTGAATGAATGGCTCAAGTAGTCGATCTTTATGATTGAATGCGAGCTAATCTATGTGGATAGAAAATGCTTTCCTCTACCAGGATACCGTTCAGTCGAGAAGACGCCATAGCGACATACTACGTTCTACAAGAAGATACGTTGAGACTAGGAAGCTATTGCTTACGAAGCATAGGCTCGTCTATTTAAGAAACTGATGAACTACTTCCCATATGTATACAAACATGTTAATCCGCTCATGAACATAACTAATATCAGTCGTCTACATACCTTCGTGCCTTCACGCGAATATGGACTAGAAGAGTCTTCAAGTCCAGATAATGTTGCAGTGGGATGATCACATCTTGATTTGATATAGAATCAACCGAGACAGCTATTCTGAAATGGTTAAGACATAAATATGCTCTTAAACATATGGATAAGGCAAAACCCGAGGAAGATTGTTAACGACACGGGGTTAAACACTCAAATTTAGAGCAGTTTATACCTCAAGTGTATCACGAATGCAATGACTGCGAAATTGATCGAATCAAACTCTACGGGCACGTAACGATGCAAAGTGTATCTGAAGACGAGCCGTGACGCTGGGTTATCATTGATTTTGTTGAGCTGCCCATGTCCAAACACACGAAAGATAAGATAACGTGCTGTATCGAGAGATAGATCAACTCAAACTGTGACCGAGAGCATTTATAAGTGATTCGCAGATGTCGGCTGGCCAGCTAAGGTGTACACTATCAACAGTAGTGAACTGTTCCTCATTGTAGGCATATGCCACAAAAGGGATGTACCTAAGCCTCAGATACAAGGTGCTAATGAGGTTAGACACAGAAAGATGAAGGAGTATATGCGAGGAGCGGTACTTGATGGTGCATGGTGCTGACATGTGCTCAATTAACTCGGTACAAAAACAAATGAACGAGACATCGGACTTTGTCACTGATACAGCGCCCGCTCACTATTTCTGGGGCCGTTGTAGTATATTACATGTATATTCTAGTAAGGAATCTCAGGAAGATCATGTGTTACTATGATTAATGAAGACGCGTAGAATCAGTCATGTAGTCTTTCCTTGTTTGAGAGATGAATCATATCGCTCTGTAAAAGAGACAGAAGCGATGGAACAATACAAAGAAAATTTGAGTTTGAGGTTAAGGATATAGTCAACATCATGGATCGCAATTTCAACACGACTATGCTTACTGCTAAGTATATTGGGCCGTTCACAATTTCTGTGGCCGATACAACGAGCGGAATGTATGAGAATAATATCGCTGATGGCTCGAGTGCCTTAAGTACCGGCTCTCCTCGCATACTGACGACAAAGTTCATCCTTCGTCGCATATGCGAGTCTACTGCACTTCATCTGTTTTACAAGCTCAAATATATTATTGGAAAGTACAAACATGGTGAACTGCATGCTACACAACGGAGTTTACAGATGGGGCACAATCCGATATTATTTTATACATTGTTTCTTTCCAGGATCAACTTTTACCTTTGCCGCAAACACTTTGAAGCCAAGCTCAGTACTCAGGTAGAAGCGGTAGTATATTTTTAAGCACGGATCGCAGGTCACCGTAAGCGTTGATGTCATTTTTCACTTCTTTAGAGAGGTTAACTCCTATAGTGTCCATCACCTGGTATATCAACAGATATTTGCCAGTGTAAATATGTGTGACCTTCCATCTTACGATTCCTACGCGTCATATGAGCAACTGCACCTCGTGTGATGGTATAAATAGCGAATGACTCACGAGACTCAAAAAGTTTCTATCTCGCGTATCGTCAAAGGAAGCATTCAGAATAGTTTTACGTGACTGGTTCCACACAGGGGAATGTCTTTCAAATAGGCTCATGAGCTGACCGTATAGTGTGCCATTTATAAGGCTCGCATAAATGTATGAGATCATTCATAATCTGCTTATCCTTAAGGTTGGTTGATTCTTCAAGTTGCTCAAATGCAGTGTTTCCAGTGCACTCTCGTTAGTTGAAAAATCGACCTAAGCTTTAGCAATTTCGAGCAACTAAATAAAGCTTGGCTCAGTGTGTTCTCGCAGCACACACTCAGTGATACGCGGTGCTTGTTCTAGATCAGATTCAATTATCTTTCACTTTGTATCAATGAGGTAGCGAATATTACTCACTTGCTGTTCATTGAGATCCAAGTCAATCAAGGGACGTTTCTCTAACACTTGCATATCCGTACGTAGGCATCCGAGCTCTCACTATATTGTTCTCAATGCTAGAATGGCTACTCTCTAGTGAGGGTATGATATAGGTATTGCCAAAGTATCCTCACTTCATACATACCCTGCGACGTCCACAGAACAATCATACCTTTAACCTTGTACGCTTTATCCTACTTGTTACCTTCCTTAGACAGTAACCTCCACACCATATGCCCAGGTTCCCAGATCGGTGCTGGTCTTCTATGCTGATCTGCTGCCTACAACTGCGCTCCCTTTGCAACCTCATCCGATATCGCAACAGTTCAATCGCGCACTGTAGCTTCACTAAGCAAATGCATATCCAACACATCCAACAATCTCGCCCGTACAACCACGTCTAATTGCGAAGTATACTGTCTGCCCGTCAAATGATAATATGGACTCACACCAGTGGCCTAACTCACAGTAGCATTATATGCAAGCACTACGGAATATATATATATATATATATATATATATATATATA